TTCCAGGTCTTTTTCTTCAGGTCCCTTCCACATCAGGTTAGTTGACGGGACAGTTAGAATGGAGGATGGGAACAAGGGTCTGATTGAATCCAGGAGCTGGCAGGTTCATTTAGCTTCACAAACCTTCTCATCGAAGTTCCCCGATCAGCAGAGGAGAAAGACCAAGTTCTCCTACAAAGGGTCTGGGAACATAACTCAAAGCTCGAAGTTCAAACTATTTTTACAGTCTGCAGATTTCACATTGTGTTGCATAGCAAAGAAAAGTCAAAATCTCCCCCCACCTAGATTTTTGCTTTAAGTGAGGCTCCAAAATAATGAATAGTGTTGGCTCCAGAATTTCTATGTAGGAAGGGCTTGGGGGCAGCAATTCATGTGGAAGAGATGGCAAAGGCACTCACCTAGATTTTTTTTTTTTTAAGAGCACTTGGCGTAAGATTGAGAAGACAGCAGGTGTCTATAACAAAGAATGGAAGTAGTGGATTAATGGACCCATTCTCTGGCATTACCATTGGAGATGCCCAGACATTAATCATGTGGGCCCCCTTACCCTTGGCACCCTCTGTGGGGATTTAGCCCCTGCCCCTCCACCCCAGTGGGGAAGCATGGGTCTCATGTGCATCCTGAACATCAAGCATTTTACAAAACCACACAGTGTCCCCACATTTTGGACAGCATTGGTTGCCTAACTCCTGCTGGCAATTCAAGGACAAATTAGCTTGCTTTAAGGTATAACTTCCTTTGTTTTCATAAAGAAAATAAACCCAAGTCTCTGGAAAGGAACAAAGCTGCCGACCTACACACACACACAGACACACGCAGAGAACCTATTAGAAGTATTTGAGGAAATAAATCAAAGTAGTTGCTATGGGTAGCCCCAGTACTAACAAGTATAAATGGATGGTATTTAATGAGCACTTACTACATAAACGCCTGCCTCTCTTCTAAGTGCCTTCCATGGACATTCGCTGCTGACCATGTGGGCATGTGAGTGTGCCAGCCCAGCTCTACAAGGTTAAGTCTTCCCTCTGAGTTTATATATACCGCAGGTTATAGCATCACTTGTGAGAACTACCCCCCAACCACGACCAGAATTGCTGAAAACTCCCTTAGCTGCTCAGTTCTTCCTCCCAGCGTAGCTGGCCCTTGAACAAATGTCCTGACCCACTTCCAACTTCAAAGTTGCTGGCTGAGTCTGATGTTTAATAGTGGCCTGTGGACATTTAGATTAAGTCTTCCAGGCAGGAGATGTCATTTGCACACATAGGCAGAAGGGCTTATGCTCAGCTTCCCCAAAGAGTCTTGATTACTTTATAAACGCTAGATGCATTGAGAAAAACGCTTTGTATTTCCAGACAACACAACCTATTAAAGATAATATATTCTGTGGGTGCATTACCCTTTCCTTTCTTAAAATTTACTTTTAATTTATTTTTAAATTTTTTTAATGTTTATTTATTTTTGAGAAAGAGAGAGACAGAGAGACAAAGCATGAGCAGAGGAGGGGCAGAGAGAGAGGGAGACACAGAATCCGAAGCAGGCTCCAGGCTCTGAGCCATCAGCACAGACCCCAATGCGGGGCTCAAGCCTAAGAACTGTGAGATCATGACCTGAGCCGAAGTCAGACATTCAACTGACATTACGATTTTTTTGTTTTTTGTTTTCAGTTCACACCATTTAATGTTTATTTATTTTGGAGAGAGAGAGCACAGTTGGGGGAGGGACAGAGAGAGAGGGAGACACAAAATCCGAAGCAGGCTCCAGGCCCTGAGCTGTCAGCACAGAGCCCAACGCGGGGCTGGAACTCATGAACCTCGAGATCATGACCTGGGGCAAAGTCAGACGCTTAACCGATTGAGCCATCCAGGGGCCCCACCCTTTCTTTTATCTGCCCTGAGTTCATGTCTTTCAGGTGGCAAAAGAGTCTTCTTCGTGCCATTCTAAAGATTGTAAATCTGGTTATCATCAGTCTCTCATCCTCTTTCTGATTTTTTAAACCTTTTTAAAGTAAATTTTATACATGTATGATATTATACATATATACGTAAATTTCACATTATCTTATATTTTACATATTACACGTTAGACATAAATTTTTTATGTATAGCATACCATACACACACACACACACACACACATATGTGTGTGTGTGTGTGTATATAATTATCATGTGCGTTTATGCCTTCAGTATGCCTTCGTCCAAATCTTTTTTAGTCAGTCTTTGAGATGTGTCCGACTTTGTCCTCCTCAACCGAGGACAGTGAGGCATGATATGACGCAAGATGGAAGAGTTGATGTGGACCTAACTCCTTTACTGACTACCCACATGGCCTTAGTAGAGTCACATAGCCTCCCAGAATCTCCTTTTGCTCAACTATAAAGTGGGGACAATAATCCTTGGTCATTCAGCCAGTCAGTTCCACTCACTGAGCACCCACAGCGGGGTAGGCCAGGCCGCGTGCACTCCTGGCTCAGGGTGAGCAAAGCAGAGCTGGCCAGCCATGTGGAGTTCAACGTTTGGGGTGGGGTGGGGGGGCGGCGGTGGTTAGGCATGAATCCTTCTGAGAAGGACACCTGAGGGGGCTGTGCAGACGTGGGAAGGCTCCCTGAGATGGGGGAGTGAGCTGTGGTCTTGAGGATGAGCAAGAATTAGTTAGGAGACGGTAGATGGAGACCTTGTTCCGGCCCAGGAGCAATCCTGAGGAAGCCACAGGGGAGAGGGTGAGGAGGGGCCAGAGGAAGCAGGCCTTCCTCACCCCTGTCAGCCTCATCGCTGCACCCCTCTAGTGAGGACAGGACCATGGAAACACACGGCAACTAGAAAGCACCCCATTATGCTGACTCTCTTTGCCCTCTGTGTAGTGAGAACAGCCATTTTCCTCTCAGCTCCGGGGGCTGTGGGAAGGCCTTCCCTAAAGAGAGCCCGCCATGCTTGGCTCTGGCTCTGGCTTTCCTCCAGGGGGAGCCGCACACAAAGCCTGCTCTGTGGGTGAGCTTCAAAGGAGAGAGCTGAGGGGAACAGAGCCTGCCAGCAACACCTCCTCGTGTCAGTGCCCACCCCCACCCAAGCATTTCTCCGAATCCTCCAGGCCCTTTAGCGTCCAGAAACAACATGGCCCTCTTCACGTGCCAAAGAAAATAACAAGGGGGTGGAAGTGGAAAGAGGAGGGAATGGAGACTTGGCGAAACCTTTCCACGGAAAGAAATAAACTGTATCCTCCAACTGTTGCACACCGATAGCCATCTCCGTTGGGGACTCAGCTAGGGACCAAGGGTGGAAGAATTTCAAGGCTCATAAACATCCCTCATCAGAATACCAGGAATGTCAAAGGCCCCCGAGGTTTACTCAAGCCAGAAATCAGTAGATGAAAGCACAGACCAGACAGGGGAATGGCTGCCCTATTTTCCCAGTAGACCCTATTGGCCCCAAGGTGCCCCTCACAGGCTAGTGGGCGGGCCGCAGCCAGCGACCAGCAAGCAAGAAGTGAGGCGGCCTCCTCGTTCTCCTCACGCACCAGGTATAGGCAACAACATTGATCTCGACCATCTTGACAGACTACCGACCCTTTATCCACACGCATATAAAATTCTGATTACAAACTTAAATGAAAACAAATCTATTGTTTAAGTTGACCACCCCTCAATCCACTCCACGGTAGGGAAAGAGATTTCTGGAAGGGCTCTGAGTTTTAGGGGGAGCCTCAGTTTCCCCCTCTGTGAAGTCACCTGATCATTCCTATTTGGGAGGATTTGAGGCCCTTGAGAAGCTGACGCACCAGGGGTGCTTGAGGAGCTCCTGAAGGAGCAAGACTCCTGACAGGCAGCGAACATCTCTCTTGCCTTGGATCGGAAGCTCCGTAGATTCACTGGGGACAATGGCAGCAAATGCAGCATTTACCAGGGAGTCAGAATAGCCTCATTGACATTTGCTGTGGAGTCTAACTCTGAGTGACGCTTTCTGTCGTCGACACAGCCTGAGCCAGTCACTGTGCCATCCTCTACGTTCTGCCTTTCTCCTCACTTTTTCCACACTCGTCTGCCACCCTTTCCTCCTGGCATTGGGACAGAGCTGTTGAGCACCCAGTCTCTGTTCCAAGCCAAGCATGGCCCCTTCCCAGCCTCCCAGACAAGATGGTGCCCACTTCTCTCCGGGTTTGTATGGGGCTCCTCTGACGGAGTGACGGGGCTCTGGCCTCAGGATAGAAAAGCATCGTCAAAACCACAGAAGCAACAATACAATCAACTCCCCCACGTCTCTCTTCCCCAGAGGAGACCACTAAGGTGATCCAAGCTCTGTCGGACCGCGGGCAATGTCTCACCAGCTCGAACCCTCGGCCCTAGATGACCAGAAACAGCGCACAAACCAACAGCTAGTGTTGGCAACTGCTGTAAGAGCAGAGGGAATCAAATCAGCTTCAGATTGTGTCTGGCACACAGTCAGCATTTAATAACCACTGAATTGTTGATAGTTTTCTAGGCGCTACACAGCCTATATACGTTAACTCCAAATTGCATCACAGCCCTGTGAGTTGGGCATATTATACCTATTTTACAGATGAGAAAACTGAGGCTTGAATGTCTATGGACCCTGCCCAGTCGCAAGCAGCCAAACTAGGGTTGGAACCCGGGCTCGTCGGGCCCCAAAGAGTGTGCTCTTGATAACCTGTTGTCTGAAACCGAACCACTGAAGGGCCTTGTTCTCCCCTTCTCCGCTACTTCTCCTCTTTCTAAGCATCGAGACTAGGTCCAGGCACTCTCAGGCCATGACTGGGTTTCTCACCCGTCATCCTCTCTCCTGCCCCGACGTCCACCTGTAAGATCCAGCCTCTTCTGGTTTTTGCAGGGGAGTAGGTAACCTGGGTCCCAGAGCACCCCAAAGCCAGAGGCTCTTTTAACTCACAGCAGAGGGGTGGGGGTGTTAACACAACCGAAGCCTCCTTCGGGGGCCCTCTAGAGGCTTCCCTGGGGGCGGCTGTCCCTCACTTCCCTCTCTTCTGGCATAGCCTGCGACTCCTACTGGACGTCCGTCCACCCCGAGTACTGGACCAAGCGCCACGTCTGGGAATGGCTCCAGTTCTGCTGTGACCAGTACAAGCTGGATGCCAACTGCATTTCCTTCTGCCACTTCAACATCAGCGGCCCGCAGCTGTGCAGCATGACTCAGGAGGAGTTCACCGAGGCGGCCGGCCTCTGTGGGGAGTACCTCTACTTCATCCTCCAGAACATCCGCTCCCAAGGTCAGTGTCCAGAGGGCCGGGCCTCCAGGGGAGGGGCCCGGGACTGGGACCGAATGACCCCACGATGTGACTCACACGGCAAAATCTCATTCACTGGAACTCTGTTCACTAACATCCCCGTCACCAAAACCTCTCAATACCTGCAAGTTCTAGTTTGCTAGTATTAGAGATCGCAGGTCAGAGGGAGCAAGTTAAGGGGAAGCAAGTTGAGTGCTTTTTTTTTTTTAACGTTTATTTATTTTTGAGACAGAGAGAGACAGAGCATGAACGGGGGAGGGTCAGAGAGAGAGGGAGACACAGAATCTGAAACAGGCTCCAGGCTCTGAGCTGTCAGCACAAAGCCCGACGCGGAGCTCGAACTCACGGACCGCGAGATCATGACCTGAGCCGAAGTCAGCCGCCCAACCGACTGAGCCACCCAGGCGCCCCAGTTGAGTGCTTTTTTAATACGAGAAGAAAAACTAAAAAGACATTCAGGAACCAGATACAACAAAACATTGTATTATGTTCATTAAGATTTGCAACCATAAAACATGGAAGAAGAGGTTTCTGCTTGACTTTTCATTAAGCAGAAAGAGGAGAAAGTTAACTAGACCCTTTCCCTTCCCATTTCCAGAGGAGTCCGATTCATTGACATTTCGTGATCACTTTCCTAACCGTCAAGGAGAAACAGCCAGAAGGTGGCGTCAGTGGCATTCTTTAACATTTCAACAGGCCCCGCAAGAGCGGAATGTTGAACAGGTGTTTTAAAACTGGATAGGTTTCTTTTTGAGAACGTATAATTCTGTATCCCCACGTCACAGATAAAGGAACTATGGTCCCAAGCTATTAAGTGACTTCTCCGATGTCATACAGCAAACAGGGTTAATTCATGGAAAATCAATAGAAAGCAAAGGCTTTGAGTTCAGAAAGACCTGTGTTCCAATCCTGACTCCAACACTTTGGAGCCATAGGTCCTCTGGCAAAGGGCTTGCCCTCTCTGGATTTCCACTGCCTCGTCTGTACCCTGGGATAATAATACACCTTCACAGGTGACAGGTTTCAGTGAAACATTGCCTGGAGCAGCATAAAAAAGTGTAAATGCAATAAATGGCAGCTGGTTTTTTTTTTTTTTTTTTGGTCATTATGCATATAACCAAGGGGAAGAAATTTTTAAAAATAAAGGAAACATATTTCAGCTCAATTTTAAGAAAAGACATTTCTAAAGGTTAGCACCTTTTTTGAGGGAAGACTGCTTCAGAATATACTCAAGGTAGGAAGCTCCCCATCACTGGAGATAATCAAGCAGTCTAATAGCCCCCTGATCGATGGGGGTGCTGGGGCAGGGATTCCTGTCTGGGCAGAAAACCACAGAAGACCTTCCAACTCTAAGAATTCTTTGCTTTCCCCTTGCTCTCCCCAATCATGAGTGCCTGAGGGCAGGCAAGCTATAGATGTTGGCCCTGGGGCACTGCTCAGCTTCTGTCCTGGGAGCCACGACCCATCGGGAGCAGGGAAGGGACAAAGAGACCTGCTGTCCATTGTCCAGTCCTGGCTTCTTTAGCCAGTGACAGTGCCCTGCCAGGAGCAGTGGTCTGGGCGTAGAGTGGGCCCTCCCTGAAAAGGGGAAAGTCTGAGTAAATCACAGCAGCTCAGAGTAGAGCTCCAGGCTCCAGCACCTTCTGAGGGAACCTCTTTGCATGAGAACCCCTGGGCCACAGAGAGGGAGGTGTCCCATCCTGGAAGAGGATGCAGCTTGGCATTGCCGGCCTTAGCCAAACATCATGTCCATCAAGTTTGTCCCCAGGCCCCCAGCAGCCACTGTGCTGGGGTCTCTTCGCATGAGTACCTCCCTTCCCTGACACTTGTTACAACCCCAAATCCCTATTCCTGGTGCCATCGCCTCAGGGTCGGTGGAAAACAAGCCCAAAACAATTGTTTTTCAAACAGACCATATTTGGCTCCTTCTTATTCTGAGGAATCCCTGGAGTCACAAAGCCAACTCTAACGGGGGAATTTCAGGCCAGCAATGTTCTTCAAGCAGGAATGTGTGCTGTGTATTGTGAACTGAAGTACACGTATTGTGACCAGACTTTACAGTGGCCCAATTTGCCTGGGACACATCGTTTTCACCCATTATCCCAGAATAGTTGTTACAGGCACTGTCTTTCATTCTCAAAAGTGCCTGCATTTGGATAATAAATTAATTATATGGTGATCTGGTTATTATCTAGTTTAGGCCTTCTATTACTGCATAGGTTAGGACTCTGGCAGAATAGGACACAGAAGGGCCGCCTGGGTGGTTCGGTCGGTTAAACGTCCAACTTCGGCTCAGGTCATGATCTCCTGGTTTGTGAGTTCAAGCCTCCCATTGGGCTCTGTGCTGACAGCTCTGAGCCTGGAGCCTGCTTTTGATTCTGTGTCTCCCTCTCTCTTTCTGTCCCTCCCCTGCTCGCGCTCTGTCTCTCTCTCAAAAATAAACACTAAAAAAAAATTTTTTTGAGAAAAAAAAGAATAGGACACAAAACAAGTAAGTTTTGACAGCGGGAGGAGCTACAGGGCAGCGTAGGACCCAGCGTGCTGTCCGGTTCGGAGGTATCTCGGTAAGATTTAAGGGCCTGGAAAACCGGGGACGCTGGCTGCTGGAAGATGAGGTCAGCTAGGAGTGCGGGGGCCACAGTGGAGGTGGAGTGGGTCCCTCATCGGTTAATCCTCTATCCTGTGCTCTGGTGGCCCTGTGGGCAGAGCGGACCGAGGTGTCCCGGCCGAGCAGAACCCATCAGAAAATGGGGCTAGGAATAAACAGTCCCAAATGTGCCCTGTCCCGGCCTCCTGAGTCAGTGGAAGTTGGTGCTCACTGGCCACCAAGCTAGGACAGAGGTGTCCTTTTTCCTGTACTGCTACATGGTAACTTGATTGGAAACTCCGAATTCACCCCCAACTCACCGCATGCTTCAGAGGAGCAAACCAAGGCCCCAACATGGCCCCCCAAATCCTTGTTAAAGCCTCTTAGCGGGCCTTGCACTTCTTTGGGCCTCCTGCATCCATTTTCCCCTGTGACCAGCACGTAGCAGGCATTTAAATCCCCAGAGGATTAGAGGCTACATCATAGACCACAGACCCTGAGAGTGGAAGGGAGACTCAGAGGTAGTTTTGTCACCTGTGGCCAGCGAGGAACACGAGCCTGGAGACTGAGTGACTGGCAAGGTCCCACTGGGGTCAGTGACAAGGTCCAGCTCAGAGTCCAGGCCCGCTTGGAAAATCCTAGAGGCTGCTGGAATGCATGGCCCTGGGGCCCTCTCCAGGAGGCCTTTAAAAACCAGGAGACTGTCATCTCCCAAGGATGGCTTCAGGGTGGCCCAATTAGCGCCAGGTGGTCTCCAAGATTCTTTCTGAAATAAAACTACCCCACAGAGAGGACAGCTGTCCCCCCTTCTCCCCGCACCCCCTCTCCTGGCCAGGGAACCCAGGATCACGGTGCGGTTTGTGGACTTCTTTTTCTTTCCTAGGTTACTCCTTCTTTAATGACACAGAAGAGACCAAGGCTGCCATCAAAGACTGTAAGTAACCAAGTTCAAGCTGCCCAAGGCTGTGCTGAGGCTGCTGTTGGGCACGGGGGCTTGATGGGCCTTTTGTGACCACGTTGAAAAGCTGATGACCTAGAAAGGGTCACAGACCAGGAGAAGACAGCAGGGAGAAATGTGGTAGGCAGAGCACGGGGCTTGGATTTATGGATTCCTTGCCCTCCCCAGCCTCAGTGTCCCTATCTGTAAAATGGAGTGGCCCTCGCCAGGTCATGGTGAGTTGGAGAAATAGTGCACATGAAGTGGCTGGCAGATGCCAGCGACGTGGACGCTCCAAACACTGGTATCTGTGAGCAATAATCATCATAATTACTAGCCATGGGGGCCTTGTAGCTGCAAATGTCTCTCAAGATCTGAGCTCACTAAGCAGTTTTCAATTACAAGGGGATGGAGGACCTACAAGAGCCCTATTGATTCTGAAAATTAACCCTCACAGTTTCACTTTTGCAGACGGAGGTTTAGGAAAGGGAACTTTGGAGCTTTCTTTTTAATTTTTTAATGTTTTATTTATTTTTAAGACAGAGAGAGACACAGCATGAGTGGGGATGGGGCAGAGAGAGAGGGAGACACAGAATCCGAAGCAGGCTCCAGGCTCTGCGCTGTCAGCACAGAGCCTGATGCAGGACTTGAACCCACGAACTGCGAGATCATAACCTGAGCCGAAGTCGGGCACTTAACCGACTGAGCCACCCAGGCGCCCCATGAAGGGTTTTTTCATTCAGAGTTTTAGTGCAGGAATAGCTGCATCCATGAACCACATTCTGTAGGCTTACAGAGGCCCGAGGTGCCCCCATGGACCCCAGTGGACCTCACAAGAGCAGGTCTGCCTTCCATGAGGCATCCCTGCATTCAGGCCTCAGAGCATAGCCTCATCCCTGTCTGGGAACAAAGCTCCCATGGAGCTTCCCAGCTCCACTAGAACCCTTCCGCAGCAGTCTGCAGGGTGCAAACCCAGCTGTCCCCACCCAGCCCAGGCCAGGAGAAGCCCCTGGAAGAAATGAGCCCACTGAGGCCCAGGGACAGGCACCTGCTGTATTCCTAAGCAGCAATGAGTCTGACCTGCCTGACCCTTTCTCAGGGGTCAGTGTCTCTACCTATAAATGGGTGTCTTTTTGCCAACCTGCCTTCCTCACAGCTAGGAAGAGATAGCATGTGGTAAGTTCTTTAGAAGAAGTTGTTACATGAGTATACAACTAGCCCCAATTAGAGTCATTGCTATAATAATAACAATGGCAGTTAGCATTTACTGAGTGCTTACAAAGAGCTGGGCCCTGTGCTAGAATCTTTATAGACATTGTTTTAGGTAATCTTCTCAATAACTCTGTAAGACAAGACCTAGTACCACATAGGAACTAAAGCTTAGAGGTTAAAGTTTAGGAAGATGAGCAGCCCAGGTGTGTCTAAATCTGAAGCCCTTAACCCCTAATCTCCTACCCATTCCTTTCTTTCCCTTTTTTTTTTTTAATTTTTAAGTTTTTTTAATTTAATCCCCCAGGCACCCCTTTTATTTCCCTTTTCATTCATTCATTCAACAAATATTTATTGAACACCTACTATGAGCCAGGCCCAGGCACTTACTATGTGCCATGGCTGCACTGATGAGGATAACTTTGGTCTTGCCTTCATAAAGCAAGAGAGGGAGAGAGACATTAAACAAATAATCCCCATAATAAATATGTGATGACTAAGTATGACGATATCGCAAAGGAAAAAGATAGGGTGCTGTGTGTGTGATGGAGGAAAGATTGCATTTAAATTAGGGACCAGGGGGGCGCCTGGGTGGCGCAGTCGGTTAAGCGTCCGACTTCAGCCAGGTCACGATCTCGCGGTCCGTGAGTTCGAGCCCCGCGTCGGGCTCTGGGCTGATGGCTCGGAGCCTGGAGCCTGTTTCCGATTCTGTGTCTCCCTCTCTCTCTGCCCCTCCCCCGTTCATGCTCTGTCTCTCTCTGTCCCAAAAATAAACAAACGTTGAAAAAAAAAAAAATTTAAATTAGGGACCAGGGAAGACTTCCTGGAAGAAGAAATATTTTAAATTAAACCTAAAGGATGAAAGTTAGCCAGGAAAAGAAGGAAGAAAAGGGTCCAGGGAATGAGTGGCAAGTGCAAAGGCCCTGGGGCAGGATCAATTTTGGAGCCCTTGAGGAAGAATCAAAAAAAGGCTAGAAACTCTCACACTAGGAGGCTCAATATGGTAACCACTAGCCACAGGTGGCTATTAAATTTAAATAAAATTAAATAAAGTTAAAATTCAGCTGCTGAGTCACACTGGCCACATTCCAAGTGCTCCATAGCCACAGGTAGCTAGTGGCTACCACATAGGACTGCTCAGCTTCCTGTCACCATGATAAGTTCTCTTGGACAGCACCTTGGTAGATCATTGGCCACATCAGCAGAGGGAGGAGTGGGAGCCGAGGCCAAGAGCAGGGCAGAGGCAGGTCATGTACAGCTCTTGAGTCTGGGTGTCATTCTGAGCAGGCTGGAAAGCCACTAATGCAGGAAACAGTAAGATCCCATCTGCATTTTAAGAAGATCCCCCAGACTGTGGTGTCTAGGTCAGGAAGGAGGACAGCCAGGAGGCTACTGTCCAGGAGGAGAGTGATGGTGATGGTGGCCCAGACCAGGTGACGGGAGGGACAGAGAGAAGTTTCTGGAGGCAGAGGTGGAGATAAGACAAGGACTCTGAGCTGGCTTCTCTGGCACACACACCCATGGAGACAAGCGCTCCCAGTGCATGCCCTGCCCAGCCTGCTGCAATCAGCGGCACAAGTTCTAGACTGAACTCAGGGTCATGTGGTCTGGTGAGTACACCCAAAAATGAGCACCACAGCTTTGCTGAGTTGCAGCCTCCACGGCTACAGCCAGGAAACCACAGCCTTCCCCCTGGGCCCCTGGCTCTCTCACAGATTTCCCCAAACAGAAACCCTAATGTACAGTTTAGTAGGAACAGATCATATAAGGAGCCTGTTCTAGAAAGTCCAGGACATATGATCATGATGCCCACCGCCCAGGTGATGTTTCACGATCTTAGACACCATCCACCCCAGAAATGAGTTGTGCCAGCCAGAGGCCAAGGCCTTGGCCAACCAAGACAACTGGCATCCCGGAGGCTTCAGGTAACGTTCCCATGAGTCTTCGGTGAAGATTAACATCACTCATTGGCATCCGTGAAACACGTGCCCAGAGCGGTGCCAGGAAGAGTATTGCACATACTTTAGCCCATTTAATCTTCATTAAAACTCCAACAGGTGGCTTTGTTACTCCCATTCACACCTGAGGAAATCAGAAGAGCAATAACTTGCAAATAAGATGGGATTCCAATTCATTTTCTCCAAGTCTGTTCTTGTATACGCTATGCCATTCACCAAACACACACACACACACACACACACACACACACACACACACGCATACATGCACACGAGCACAAGCGCCTAGACCCTTCTCTTCATTCTGTTGCCCCCTCAGCTGAGACCCAAGGCTCAAGAATCTTCTGGGTCTGGGCCCAGCTCTGCAGTGATCCAGAGAACGAGATGATTTTCAACTTAGTACCTGCTGAAGGGACCCAGGCCCAACAAGCTCTGAAACTGTTGGACTGGCCCAAGTGACACGCCCCAGCCCCTCCCACCCCCACTGCAGAAACGCCAGAAAACAAAGCCTGAAGGCCTGGGTTCTAGGCTCAGAGCCTCTCCTCCTGACACAGAGACTGGGCTCTGTGGCACTGCTCACATCGTGGGGATGTGATGAGCTGCTTTTGGAAACTCTGCCTCTCCTGCCCCATATTGGCTTCTGGACTTCAGTCAAGGACTGAGAATATATCCTTTGGCCACATTTTAGCAGTCTCCAGCCTCAAGGCAACCGAACCTTTCCAAATCCCAGAGACAGCAGAGAACTGAGGCCACGCCCCAGTCACCCCACACTGGCACAGCCTAGCTGCGGGGACACATTCGAGATAAAGATAGTTCTGAGACAGGGAGAAGTGTCCCCCAGAATACCACTGGCAAAGAAATACAGCGGGTTCGTGGGGGCGCTGTGGCCTCCGGCTGGCATCAGTGGAGGCTTTGACTTGGAAACCTGCCTCTGCCTGGCCATCTCATTGATGGCCACAGCGCCTCTGCCCCCATGGCCCCCCACTGCCACTCTGCCAAGCCAGGCCTCCAGTCTAGGGGACCCGTGAGTGGCTTCAAAGCCACCAGTGAGGACTGGGGGCAGACAAAACAGAGTTATGTCTGGCAAGACCCACAAGGAGAGGCTCCCACAGTCCACATAACCCCGTTTCACACTGACCTATCCTGTGTTCACCCCAGCCAGTCGAATACCCCTCATCTGCAACACATGGAAGAAATTATAAAAATTAAAAGGCCGACTTTTCCCCTCCCTCTTCTTGCCGTTTTGGCATTTCAGCGAAAGCTTATTGTCTCTTCACCGGTTAGTAATTCACCTTCGTCTATTTTCACCACTCCAGTTGCTTTCTCTCTTCTTAAAAGATTAAATTAACCCAACAACAGGTCTGCCCCGTGGGGGACGCTGTGCATGCAGCATGGCGTCCGAGGGGACAGAAGGGCAGCGGTCTTTCTTGTCGCAGTCGGCCAGCTGTCTGTCCTGCTCACCTGCTTTCACGTCTCTCCACCTGGCAGCTGTCCCCGTTCTCCGCTGACCTCGCCCGGGCATTCACTTGTGGTTTGCACATACCTGCCCGTGTGCGTGGGCCTGTTTTTCCACATCAGTGCAATTCCAGGCTGTAGTATCTGAAAGGGTGAAGAGGCCCAGGGACCCTGAAGGCTGAAGGCATGCGTGCACCTCATTGTTTGCTCCAGTGGACATGCACTGGGGCTGCTGGAGCTTAGGGCTCTGAGGTCGGCCTGCTCCGGCGCTGGCCAGGCACGTGACCTGCCCCGTGCCCCGCCCCCCTACCATCCGGGGCGCCGCTTTCCCTGCCCCTGCCCCGTTTCAATATTCCCAGCATTTATCACCGGCCAAAATGGTCCATATTGGCTTGTTGGTGAGATGTTGCTACCCACTCGGAGGTCTCAGAGGAGAGACTTGGACCTCTTTTGGGCCGTGCCTCCAGCACCTCGTGGCGTGGGCGTGCGGTGGCTCACTACTCGCGAACAAACGAGCCAATGACCTGCAGTGTGCTCCCCGAGTCCCCTGCGCCGCGGTTTATTTCCGTGTCACGTGGGGATAGGAACAGACGGTCACCACGAGCGTGGGTGAGGTGAGTACCCGGCCACAGCACACGCTCAACAAGCTTAGCTCATAGTCGGGAAACGTCTGTCAAACACTTACAATGAAAGACAGGCTAGAGTAATAGCTCTGAACATCAGCTTTGGAACGGAACTGCCCTGGGTTCAAGTCCTGCCTCCACCGCTCGGGATGAAATCCTTCAGCTCTCTGGGCTTCCATTTCTTCCTCCATAAAGTGGACATAGCAACCGTACCACACAAGGTGGTTGCAGTAATTAAATCAGATAGTTTGCGTGAAGCACTTAACAAGCACTTGGCATTTAGCAAGCGTTCCACGGTAGAGCAGAAAAGAGACAAGATCAACCACTGCTGTGATACTAAGGCACGCACAGTCGCTAGGAGACAGAGAGGGGACCTGACCCAGGGGTAAGTTCAGAGAAGACTTCCTGAAGAGGTCTGGAGAGCCAGAGTGGGTTTGGTGGAAGTGGGGAGCAGGGAGCTATGCAAAGGCCCTGAGGCAGGAGAAAGCCGATTTGCATTGGGACTATCTAACTCAAGAGCAGGGAAGAAGTTGGGAAGCAGCAAGACAGAAGGCTAGAGAGCTGGGTTTGTGAAAGGCCTGACTAACGTGGCAGGCTTCATCCTGGAGACAAGAGGAGGCTGCTGCAGGATGGTAAGCCAGGGAGAGACATGACCCAGTAGCACTGAGACAGATTGACCTGGTCACCAGTGTGGTACACAGGACACCATTCCTTTCCTTGACAACATACTTACCCTTTCATCCAGTGATTATAGCGTAGTATACCTACTAGACTCACAGTACACATGCTTAGTACAGAATGGCATGTGGTATAGTGGTTGCTCAGTACTACCTACTGAGTATCTATCATACTCCAGGCCCTGGGCTGGGTGTCGGGGGGACAATACATCTGGAGACACAAATCCCTGACTTCTGATGGGAATAGAGCATGAACTAAATAAAAGATGTTCTAAATAAAAGATCTAAATAAAAGATCAGGTTCGATGGTGATAAATATTAAGGCCAAAAAAAAAAAAGTAAAATAAAATAAGGGATTGTGGATACAGGATGCTGAGTAGGGTTGAGTGTGTGTGATTCCACCGAGATGGTGACTTTGAGCAAAGATGGAGAGGAGGGCCCGAACCACAGATATCTAAGGAAAGAGCACTCAGGGCAGAGGGAGGGCAAGTGCAAAGACCCTGGGGTAGAATGTGCACGTGAGTTTCAGAAAGAGCCAGGAAGCCGGTGTGGCTGGAGCAAAGTGACCAAGGGGAGCGGCAGGGGGTGGGTGGGTGAGATCTGGTACCACCTGTTTCATTTTTCCGTAAACCATATACTACTTTGAAACGATGCTGTGCGAGGGTCTCAAGCGGTTACTTACAGCATGAGTTCTAATTGAGCTCTGTATTGAGTTCCTGCCTTGCTTTATGCTATTCATCAGCTCTGGTCTCTCTCTGCTCCTGCTAGTGTCCCTTCCAGTCTGTTCTGCACACCCGAGTCAGAGAAATTTTCTTAAAATGTGGATCTTGGGGCGCCTGGGTGGCTCAGTCGGTTAAGCGTCCGACGTCACCTCAGGTCACGATCTGTGAGTTCGAGCCCCGCGTCGGGCTCTGGGCTGATGGCTCAGAGCCTGGAGCCTGCTTCCGATTCTGTGTCTCCCTCTCTCCCTGCCTCTCCCCCGTTCGTGCTCTGTCTCTCTCTGTCTCAAAAATAAACGTTAAAAAACATTTATGAAAAAAAAAGTTTTAAATGTGGATCTTGTCAAACTCCAAAGTCTTCACTTTACTCTTTGAATAAAACCCCGAGTCCTTACTATGGCCTGTAAGGAAGGCCCTATGGGCTCCGCCAGCAGCCGGCTTCCCCAGCATCCTTGTCTGCCCCTCCCCTGGGCACAGATGCCTGCCTCACTGGTTCTCTCTGCATGCTTGTCTCTGCACATGCTGCTCCCTCCCTCCGGAACACTCTCGCACCTCCTCACATCTGCGCAGATCCCTCCTGCACAGGAGGCCCTCCCTGGCCACCCCACCTAAAGTGGGCACTCCCCCCCCCCATTTGTTCTCTATCTGATGTCTTGCTTCCTTCCCAACACCTTAAATAGGTGGATTGTTCGTTTGACTCGTGTGTTGCCTTGCCTGTGGGTCCTTAAATTCCACCTGCACAGGGACCAGGTCTGTCTCATTCTCTCCTGTTCCCAGCACAGAGCCCAGAACCTGGCACCCAGCGGGTCAGCATACAAACGCTTCCTGCAGGCAAACACCTCGCACCTACTACGTACCCCCAAAGCACCTTGGCTGCCACAAAGGCAGCCAGTTAAGAGTTGCTCATTTTGGTGTGATTTAAGCTCTGAGTGACTTCTCCTGCTACAAATCATTCTATTTCAGATGCCGATTCCAACTGTTTGAAAACCAGTGGCACCAAAAGTCAAGACTGTCACAGTCATAGTCGAACGAGTAAGTGTAGAGATGCCATTTCTCATTTCTAATTTCCTATAACCACTCATGAGACAAGCACTCTAATACACTTTCAAATTGAAATGTTTGAATGGGACCAGTTGTTTCCCGAAGAAGGTACCAGAAAAGTTGACTTTTATGGCATCAAAATCACATTGCTTTTCACTTAGACATCGTGTTACAAGAATTAAAATGAGGAAGGAAAGAAATTTTCTAACCGTGGTGAATTTCTGAATAAGGGTCTATTTCTCCTGGTCTATTGGGGAGTTTTCTCTCTGAAGTACTCATGGACAATAGTAGAGAAAACACCAGGTGTTGGCAGTTCTGTTAGCCTTTCCCGGCCCTAAAATCTACCCAGTGCAGAACTAACTCTGTATTAAATCATAATCCTCCAACGTCTGCTCGGAGGTAGGTACTCTTATCCCATTTCACAGATAACTAGAGAGATCACGATTACAGAGCTAGAACAGGTGAATTCAGGACCCAAACCCAGGTGGTTGGACTCTCCAGACAGTCTTAACCACAATGGAAAAGTGTGGTTAAGTGGTTAAGAAAACAAGAGAAATACCAGCTTTTCATGAAAAACAAAATTGTAGGATTGGTCTGCCCAGAGAGGTAGGGTTATGGGATTTGAGTACAACCATAATGCCTGTCGGCCCATTTGACTGTCATTTAATTAATTCCTAAGAATTAGTGCATAGCTCCACGAAGCGAGGACAGTGTGTGAGCCATGGTGTTTCTAGTCAGTATAAATTTGGCGTCCCCGTATGTGTGTTTTCTGATTGCTTTCATAGAAGACAGACATTTCATGGCTCAGTCAGGTTCCAAGTGGAGCACTGGGTCATAACGATGGAAAATAACCTCGTAAAAGAAGCAGCTATTCTCATAAATTAATGAGAAGTTGTATACTTCTCTTAGAATTTTTTTAAAAAAAATTAAGTTTATTTATTTATTTTGAGAGAGAGAGAGGAAAAGAATGAGCGGGGCGGAGGGCCAGAGAGATCGAGAGGGAAAGAGAGGCTCCAAGCAGGCCCCGTGCTGTCAGCACAGAGTCCGACATGGGGCTCAATCCCACAACCCTGGGATCATGACCTGAGCTGAGATCAGGGGTCGGACACTCAACCAACGGAGCCACCTACGTGCCCCTTAAAAAATTTTTAAGTAACTTCTTTTTTTTCCTTCTCAAAAGGCCTCCAAAGTTCTCATCTATGGGAATTTGTGCGAGACCTGCTTCTATCTCCTGAAGAAAACTGTGGCATTCTGGAATGGGAAGATAGGGAACAAGGTATTTTTCGGGTGGTAAAATCAGAAGCCCTGGCAAAGATGTGGGGACAAAGGAAGAAAAATGACAGAATGACGTATGAAAAGTTGAGCAGAGCCCTGAGGTAAGTTGAGAGCATGAAATGCCATGAGCCTTCGGGCAGAGTTATACAAAATGGCCAGCCACAGAGGATTAAACTGTGTTTGCAGCTCCTTCCTTGATAATCGAAAGGTCATGAGACAACACTGTGGTTCTTAGTTACAGGTGGGATTATGGTTTGTAAATGGACACGCCGTCCTTCGCATTCTTGGCAGTGGCCCCGGGGATCATGCTGAGTGCAGGCCATCCCACACATACACACACAAAACGCGCTTTGAACTGAGAGTGGGGAGGCTCAGTCTTCAAGATGTCTGGGAAAGGTTTAAGTGTAAGCTGATAGCAGGGTGTGAAAATACCAGGGTAACCAAAGACCAGCCTGCTCACCTAAGAGGAATGAAGGACAGGGTTTGTATTCTGTTGTTTTCCGGGGGGTGCGAACCTCCCCACATTCGTCTTCTGCTTGCCCTTCTCAGGTACTACTACAAAACGGGAATTCTGGAACGAGTCGACCGGAGGCTAGTGTACAAATTTGGCAAAAATGCACATGGGTGGCAGGAAGACAAGCTATGATCTGCTCGGTTTTACGGATCTCTGTCTTCTAAAACAATCGGATCACCAGAGACATTGCAAAGTCTTTTTGTTGTTGTCAACCTGCAAATGTGCTGATAAAATTTCTCCACCTGTCAGCTTACATCTGGATTCAGAGTTGTTGTCACCTGCGTGGGGACAGCGGCAGTAGCTCTTAAGAAATTCCTTTTTTTTTTTTTGCCTTACCCAAGGGGGAGGAGGGGGTGATCTTTCGCAGTACCTTGATGAAACATTACTTCCCGAATCAAGAATTGCAGACACACAATAGCCCATGCTATTGGTGCTGCTCGGAGGAAAGGATCCAGTTCTGCCACTGGAGACTCGTCCGGTGCTCCCGTTCGAAAGGCTCAGAAGTTTTCACATTTTTAACTGTGGCAGCTCACAAAGGAAAAGCAGTTAGTATAGTGGGAGGGGGTGAGACGTGGGTGAGACAAACATACTGTAGATTTTAAGTCGTTCACGTCAAATGCCATAGAAAAGTTTCTTAATTAATAAAGGAGCTAATCCATCAAGCTGGGACGTGACTGGATTTAGCATGGGTTAATAGTAAGTTTCTGAACCAGAGCATCTCTTGGGCCGCTCAGCAAAACTCCCATGGCCATCTTTCTAGAGCAACACCCTTAAAATTAGGCACATTATTTACTCCTGCTGAGTTTATTCCCCTTCTTCCCCTCCTGGCGGGGGGCAGCCAAGTTAATCAACAGATACTTGTACCGATTTCCCAATCACCGCTGTTTCTGATTCCAGCTGTCAGTGCCACAAAATTGTAACTCGTCGATTCCGTCAGTGGCCAAGGCGTTAAACCTTTATAGACCCGGCAGTGCCCTGACCACTCTGTAATGGCCGATTAAATGTATAAGCCTCTTTTGTCTTCCTGGCATGTACTCAAGCTCTAAAACACATTTCCTTGACAAAAGTAGCGAGAGTGAATTTATACCAGTAAATGTTCACAGGTTTGAGTCTGCACTGACATCTTCTCATTACTCACGGGGCGAGGGGGGGGGGGGGGGGGGGGGGC